ATGATCTTCCTTTCTGGATTATCAAAACCAATTCAATCAATGTGTAACCGATAAAAAAATTAGTAACACGAATATCAACGAGATAACTAAAATACTGTTTCTTTTTCTTTAAACTAAGAATCTTTCGTTTCTTAGAAAAAAATGAGTGAATGAACTAATCGAACATTTAAATAAATTCACCTGTAAGAAATTGCGTAACATTGTTGTGTGTCAACAAAATAGTTGTGGTTTTATCAAGCTAAGATCTTATCATTTTAACAATGCAATCTGTATCATTCTTTTATCTTTCGAATCTTTTTCTCAATCATAGATTGCAAATCGATGTCTATTTTCTTTATATTGGAGGTACTAATCGACCGGAGATTCTAGCGAATTTACTGATGTCTTTTTCGTTCTTATGATAAAACCTTTCGTAGAGGGGAGAGGGCTAAAAGACTCAGCGTGCGCTGAAGAGGGACTTTCCCGTCACGTTCAATTTTTCGTTTAAAAGCCGACGTTGCTCGATAGTCATTCAGTTACATTTTACAGTGGATACGAACTAATACAATGTTGGGCATTATGAAATGTTCTGTGCTAGCTACAGTGATTACATTCGCTTCATTTTTATCAATGGAAATCGTATTAGGCATTCCGCTCGACTGTGCTAATCTCAAAAATGACGGTGAATGGAATATTTCAATTATACTCTCATAATTTTTCCAACGGAGTTTAGATAATTAATCATATTAGATATGAAATTCAAATATCGTTCATAGAGAAGTGACTGTAAGAAAATTCATGATTTAAACGTTTCACTTGCTATACAATCTCCTTTTCTATTAATACCATAAATCCACAAAAAGGTGTTAAATTGTTAACGTATTCCATCATGTTTGAGTCAAAACATTCAGCAATATTTAAATTATTATTACATACACTAAGTTCAAATCACAAGTGTCAGACGTAGATACATTTGACCAATTTATCCGAAGCTTATGAATCTTATTCTGCCCAAGAGTGCGTTTGTTCTCAGCTGTTTATGTTAGTTCTATTTATAGAAATCTGAATAGTAAAATTTTAATTATGCGCAGTAGTTCCAAACATCATCAGTAGACAAAACTGGCATGCTAGGCAACCAGTAGAACGAGAACTGCTGGAAGTAACGCCAACACCTTACGTGGTAATTCATCACGGAGGAGAGCCTAAATATTGTTACGATGAAAAAACGTGTTCCGCCATCGTAAGGCAATATCAAAATTTCCATATCGACGATCGACACTGGTTCGATATCGGATATAGTTTTGTTATTGGCGAGGACGGAAACGTTTACGAGGGTCGAGGCTGGGATTATGTCGGAGCACATGCACCTGGTTATAACACTCAGAGCATTGGAATATGTATTATTGGTGATTTTAGTAGTAAGTGTTTTATAGTTCAATCAATTTTAAAAGTGTGAGTGAACGTACTCATTGTGAAAATCATTGTGGATCACAAAAATATCCCGACACCTTTTAAAACGGAATAACTTTTTAAACATTTTAAATGAGATTTGCTAAGTAAATATAAAAATTTGAGAAGCCATTGAGTTAGAGAAATTATATATATTACGATTATTAATTTCAATTATTATATCAT